CCACCTGGAAGCCCTATTTCTGCAACTGAATCCCAGGAGGGTGCTTCATCCCTTCAGCGAGCATCATGGCTCTCACAGCCACACAGGGCCACTGGAATCAGCAGTTTAAGAAAAGGTAAGATCCAGCCAAGAGTTTCATGTTAAAAAAGGACAATAACAAGCTGGGAAAAATTTAGGTAATGCTACAGAAGCTTGAATAGTAAGATCTAATGCAGACTGAAATAGCTATTCCTGGAAAGTGGCAGGAGTCCTATTGTGAATGTCACTTCAAACTAAGCAGTGCTCATACCTGACACAGGCAGAAGAAGGAAGGTTAAGTTAGTGTTTCTCTTTCTCCGGGTCTTGGATCCCCAGAACAGGGAGGTTGTCCTACAACTGTAAAATTCTCTGCATTTTCTAGCACTGGTTAACCCTCAGAGTCACCCAAGTTGCACACTCGCTTTGCAAGGCCATTTGCTGGAGACAGGCAGCCAGCATGGCTAGGGGAACAGGGGCAGAGAGCTTGAGCTAGGACTGCCCATTCCCCACTCCGACCCCACAGCTCTTGGGGGATGCTGTACCAGGACCCCTGCCAGCCCCAGCCCTCCGCACCTTCTCCCAGCAGCTATCAGACTGCAGGAGATTACAATAACGCTTTTGGGAGACATGAGCAGCTGAGCCCAGCTACCCACCTACCTCCCCAAAACACACTTCAGCTGCACCACGATCTTTCGCTTGCTGACCACGCTCTCTACCGTGGCTTAACTTGGATTGCATTTCTATAAATCACAACTCACCTCTATGCCTTGACACTTTCCCCCCATGTATGAAGAATCCCTAATGACACCGTGCTCTCAGAGATTTTTTTGTTTTGCTTTGTTTTGGGTTTTTTTATTGTTGCTTTCTTAATCTTTTCCAAGGTGTGTTTTCAAGGACTTTTCACAGGATTGTATTGTCTGGTGTTGTAGAGTCCTTGAAATCATTACAATGATAGGAGCTATCTAAACACTTAAGCTAAAACCAACAAAATTCTAATGGAACACACTGGAAACAAAACCTGTCTTCGAGGCCAAGGAGATATTTGCCAAAGCATTTCCCATCCCCTCTCCCAGCCTGTTTTCTGCTGGTAAGCTTCATCAGGAAAGCAACTTCTCCTGCACATTTGTGAAGTACCCACTAACCATGCTATGTAGCTGTGCAATCCTGAAGTCATCCAAATTCCTTGCCCACAAGATTTCTGGGGCAGAGAAATACAGGCGTGTAAATACGATTATTTAGCATGCAACACATCAGTAGGCAGTGGGACACCTTCCATAGGTCACAGCTCCATCTACTGACTATTTCACAAAATAACAGTGTGGAGACCCTCGGGGAAAGCTGTTCGAAGCCCGGTCCCCCCGGACCGGGCTTTGCATACACGGCTCTTTGCAAGCATTTAGAAAGAATCCCAGCACAGCAACTCAGCCCAAAAGGGACAAGCAAATCTCCCTTTTCTGCAAAGAAGCCTCTTTGCACAGCAACACGTCCAGGGTCACGCTTGAACCTACAACCGTGCGTCCTTGAATTGTGGTATTTTAGTGTTTCTGGAATTACCACTGCAGTGGTTTTAACAGAAGAGTTACTTAAACAAAGACAACATGCGCTTGGAGCTAAGCACTTTGGCAAAGTTAGGGTCCAAGCATAAAAGGGAAAACATTGTGTTCGTTAGATCTGCTACTATCTGAAGTGTGGCAGCGGCAGCAGCTGAGCACCATGTGATAGGAAAAAAAATGTCATTTTACAGAGAAACTGAGACTAGACCACTGTCACATGTGAAATGTGAGGAAGATCAGGGAAGTGGATATGGCTCACTCAAGCCACATCTCCCACTCTAACCACTAGGCCCTTCTTATGTGCACAGAGTATCTCCCTGAACCATAAAGGAGATTACCCCTCCCATTCACATAGAAGAAAAAAGAATAAAGAAAAACACTGCAATGATTTATCTGCCCAGAGGGAAACAGTCTTCTCTAAAGCTCAGAGGAGACCTTGCCCTTGCAAGCCTGTTGTTTGCTGATGAGAGCTCCAAGATGAGTGCTGTTCTGCTTAGTGTGTTTCATTGCAAAAGAGGCAGAACTGAATCAGAGGCTTTTAATGACTTAAATGCATAAACTAATTTGTCCCGAATAGCAGCAAACTTCAACCAGAAAACTGCCCACAAGAAAGATGGACACCACAGGGCCTGGTTTAGAGCTGTCACAAGACTAACAGACACGAGAACAACTCTTTTTTCGGGCCAGTAGAACAGAAATACATAATACTAACCTTATTTTACAGTCAAAGGGAAGAGTTTGTGAATCAGTTCAGGCTTTAAGCCATCAGTGTGATGCAGGAGATTTAATACCCAAGCTCCCATCACCACACCCTGTATATACACCATCTTCCAGTACAACTGCGCAGCTGAAACCAGTCTGTTCTCCCTGAATCGTTCCCAGCCTCTTCTGTGATCCAAACCCTCCTGTGCATCCACATCTGAAAAAGGATTGCACTGGACTAGATTGCGTTTTCAAGCCCTCACAGCTCTACCACCTGTAGCAAGCTAGTGTTGCATGCCCAGCCCTAGGCCTTTCCAGTTCCCACTTGCTTTTCTTCTCTTTTTAGAAGCATTCGGACAATGAGAGTCACTTTGGCCCCATCTCCCTGTTCAAGACCAGCAATCACTTGGCAGCTCTCAGCCTAAACAAGAGCATCTCCATAGCCCTAAAACAGGAACTCTAACCCTTAATGGGACCTGAGGAATATGGATCAATTCCCCTGGCTCAAGAAAGGGAGCAAACAAAGAAAGGCTCACAGCCTTGCCTTCCCTCCTCTCGCCTCCTTCTTCCCATCCACTCTCCATGTTTTGCCCGCACACACAGCATCTGCACATATTCCAAACAAACAAATAATAAAAAAAAAAAAGGATAAATCACCTGATTTCATTCTGGCACAAGGATATGTAACTTCAAACTTGCTACCCAATGGGCTCTTGAATTTGAAACTTGGATTAAAGAGACACTAGCAGCACATTTTTAGAGGAAGACATGCTGTGTGAATTAGAGCCTTATCCACAGGTTTAAGCAATGAACTAGCTCACACATGGATTTTACTGCACGTCTCTTTGCCCTTGGAGTAGCAGACAAAATGCAGTCAAGAGAAAGTCAATTTCTGACCCCATCTGAAGGCACATTTGTGCAAGGATGAGAATGGGAACACTGGAAAAGTCACGTGGTTAAGGACCCACTGATGGCTCATGGAAGACTCCAGGCTTTGCTTACAAATAATTTTCTGTATTTTGTTCCTTCCATTTTATTACTAGAGACAGTTGCATGAGAACGGGATCTTTGTTGCTTAGGAGAGCATCTGCTCCCACTGCTTATCCTCCTCCTGAAGTCATAATCTTACGTGACATCAAAATCATTTCCAGAGCCACCAATTACAATGTCACAGAGGATTATGACTTCAGGTGTAGAATTTGCAGTAGGAGCAGATGCTCTCTTCAGAGGAAAAAAAAAAAAACGCACTTCAAAAAATCCTGGTTTCATACAAACTTCTCTATTAATAAAATACAAAAGAAGAAAAATAGTATGACAGCCAGAACTGTTGCTAAATATAAAAATATTTTTTAACATTTCCACGAGGCATCAGCTGCTCTTTAGAAAGTTCCCAGGGTTTAAATTATTAAGAGGCACAGAATGTAGTGAGAATCTGTCCACAACAGAGAAAAAGAGGGAGAAAAGACTGCAGAACAGCGTATTTCTGCTCAGTAAGTGAACATTAAAATTTTGGCCAGTGCTGCAATGGCATCTCAGAGGGGAGGGCAAAATAAAAAATGGGAGCTGCAGATTTTGGGTCCTTTCTAAGGATCCCCAAAGCACAACTGAAATCAACCATGAAATGTTTTTACAGGTATGAAGCCCTGTGAAAAACAAACTAAAGAATCCTTGTCACATCACAAGGAATTTACTTGGATGTTTCCAACAATCACTATCCCAGAAGGACACAGAGCCTTTTAGAGGCAGTAACAAACAATCTCGTGTGCAGTTTGGTAGGTAGCTAATATAGTCATAGGCTCTTCTGGATTTGATCTGCGGAAACAAGCCAAGTGTAATAAGTCAGCTTGAAGCTAGAGAAAGGCTGGGGGGGAGGAGCACCCTTTAGGATGCAGTAATAATGCCGTGTGATTTGAAATTTTTATTAGAGCTTAACAGGGCAAAGCAACAGTAGGTGACAAAGAAAACAGACTGAAGGCGGAGAAAAAGCCTTATAGAAAAAAAAAATTATAATGGAAAGTCTGTTGCATGGGAAATATTTTGTAAGATGACTGCCACTATTAGAAGATTTCAAAATGCCAAGCATAATTAAAAGCTCTCTTTTCAAATGCAGTTCACGGCTCACATACAAACGTTTCCCACCACGTGAGCCTCAGAACACTGCAAGGGGCCAAGCAAAATGCATTTAAGAACTGCCAAACGTGCAAAGGCAGTTTGTACCAATTCTCCCCCCAATCCCACACCTCCCCCCCAAAGAAAAACCCTTCACAACAACCCTTTAAAGGCTTTGAATTGCGCTGCCAGGGGATTATCAGTAAGTGACATTTACAAGTGATTAGAGGACAGAGAATTATCTTAGTCACTTGTGGGAAAGGAGGAAAGCTTCAAGGTCAAATCTTTCAGTACTTAAAATGTCGGCAGATGTTTTGTTTACACAAAAAGTGTCATTTGATTTATGATGGAGCTTTACATCCAGAACTTCAACTCAGCCAACGGAACTGCAGAGAACATGGGTGGGAATGGAATCAAAAATTCATATAATACCTTCAAATATTTCACTGATTCACTCTTATTAAAATAAGAGGCTAGTTCATGTGCCAAGCAGTTACACAGTACCTATTAGCTTCTTGGAACAAGTGCTCCAAGCCATATAAACCTTGGCAAGCAAGGAAATGGAGATAAATCTTCAACAGCTCCAGAAATCCCACATCAACCTCTTTCTGCACTCACCTCCGGACAATAGATTGCTGGAGATTTTTGCAAACGGTAAGAGATTCTCCCATAAACATGTGGCACATGATGACCTCAAGGCAGTTGGCCATGAATGACATCACTGCGTCAGACTGCAGAGTCCCACTCCGGGAGACGATGCAAAGCCGCTGGAGAGAGGAGCAATGACTCAGTGCCTGGAAGAACTGGGCGCCGGCACAGAAGTATGGCTGTTCCAGCCTGCAAGAATAAACAAAAACAAGTCAATAGGCAATTCATGCTTGGGCCACTTTCAGACAAGAGGGAAGACAACACATTCATGGGGGGCTGGCAAATGGAGCAACCAGTGTCCCCCATCGTCTGTTTCACTTACACATGCGATAACCTTCTACCTGCTTGCGCTAGCGGTATGGCATAACAAACCCGACATTGCAAGCTCAGAGCTCTTGCTTGCTAGTTACTCTTGAACAGTGTGTGCTCAAGGACAAGGACACAAATAGACAGAAAGGCCCTAAACTGCAGAATTCCAGCACCCGCAGGGAGTAAACCTGGTTTTGCAAGTTTTCCACAAAGCATGTTGGGTAAGATGGGCCTTAGGTCTGACCAGCAGATCCATTCTGGTCTTATGACAAGCACAGCCTGGTTTTTGCTACCTGATATCCACTGAGCAGTTGATGTGGATTTAAGGACTTAACTGCTCCAGTGCACCCAACACTGATCAAAGTAGTCATCTTCAGTTTACTGCCTAGAGAGAAGCAGGCATGAGAAATCCACAATGAACGCATGCTGATGCAGAACCTGGGCCTCTGAGCCAAGAGAGTGACCACAACCAGCGCTCTCCGGTAAGAGGATGGCAAAGGATCAAAGCTACTGCTCTCCCACAGGAAGAATAACCATCATCAATCCAACCTTTATCTTAAACACTTGGCCCAGAGAAGAGAGACGGGATCTTCTATCACGGCTATCCGCAACCTTAGGTCACAGCCCAGAGCAGGACAACAAAACGACATGGTGAAGCCATACCTGACCAACAAGGGGTCTATGTTTTAACCAGCAGCATAACTGGATGACTCCTTCACAGAAACCAGTCTGCAGGAAGCAGAACCTGCCCAGGGTTGGTGTCACCAGGAGAGTACATCTGCTTAGTGCAGATTTACTACAAGACAGAGCACTTGGGAATCCCAGTCATTGGGTCAGCAAGGCCAAGAGCTCCAGGAAGGTTAATCCATTAGGTGATAACAAGCTGTCGGTCCTAACCTGATCTGGATAATCTCTGCATGGGCTTTTGTAGTATGCAGGGATATCTCAGCAACTTAATCCTGTTAATTGATAAATTCTGCTTTAGAGACTCAGCCAGTGACTGCCCGTCAGGTAGCATTGCCTGAAGAGATCCTAACAGCCCATAAGCACGTTGGGTAATAGCTTAAAATTAATATTAAGGAGATGGGAAGCCTCTTGAGTTTTTCAACTGCGTTATTGGTGCACTGTAAATTCAGGACAAAAAGCACTGAATCTCCTGCAACCTTACAGCAGGTTTCTAGGTTAATCTCTGTGATGCGACAACCATACTTGCAATACTGCCTTTCACTCGCTAGATGACAATGTTGCTTTGGAATATCCCCTTAAACTAGTTTCTCAGCCCGGGAAATGGGGAGGGGAAAAAAGGGTAGAAGCAGCAGAGCATTAGCCAAATGAAAAGGAAACTACATTATCAGGAGGAAGTGCTAAACATTAAAATCCTCTTAAACCTATATAAAACCTTAGACTTTACTCAGGAAAGAACAATGACAGCTTACATCGAAAAGCCTGGCTGTTACAAGGAGACACCCTTGTTCATCCTTTATTCAAGGCTCTGCGCTGCCTCCCATCTTTATTGCTCTTGGCCTCCATTTCAAAGTCTCTGGAAACTACAGGGCCTAGACAGAGTGAAGCAACACTGCACACCCAAACCTCCTTTGCCAGATCTTAGCTCTTCCGTGGCTGTTTAGTCTCCTGAAGGTTAAGATACATTCACATGACCCAAGCCATTAAGCTGCCATCCCTTAGATGAGAGACCAACATGCTCCTTGCCTGTTAGAAACGGGAAGTGGTGGAAAATTAAAACCCTCCTGAGGTGTTGTAGCCACCCTGGCTCCCTTCACTATTGCAATGCATCAGGAACATGCACACAAACACCAGTCTCAGCTGATGAGCAATAATTTTAGTCACACTGTCTTTGTGATCACAGGAGTGACCTTGCTGTTACTACTGTTAGCCATTTTATACCCATTTGTGAACAGAGGATGACAATGGGACTGACAGGTCTAGCAGTTTCACCAACAGAAGCTGATTTAGGGAAAAAAGAAGGAAAAAAACATCTTTCTAAAGTAATAACATTTGTGTTCATATAGACTGGCGCAAGGAAACCATCATGGTTTGTGCCCCTTTCCTTCATAAGCACATTTGGGCTACTTTAGGATCAGATCCTTGGTAGGACCCTTTAAATCCTACCATGAGAGGAACGCCAACAGGACAAACTCTAAATTTGGAATGTTTTCAATATATTATCAAGAAAAGAAAAAGAAATAAAAAGGCAAGACTTTAATATGAACCAAAGGCAGAAAAATATCTCATTGGGAAATCTGAGAGGAACTCTACGTTACCTAGACATTGTAGGAGTCCCTTCCTGGAAATTTAAGAGATGTGCGTGTACGCAAAGCCAAAAAGTCAGCAAAGGCATGTATTATTTAACCTGGCCCTGACAGGTTGCTAGCTCCCAAATATGCAGCATCCACTTTTCCTTATCTAAAAGGAAGGCAGTTGCAGCATAGAGACTTTTTGCTCTTAAAACACTGGTTAAAGGGCATATCCTGAGCCCTCAAGGACAGCATGCGATGCCTTCCCATTCTCCACAACTCAGGAAGGAAAATACCCAGTTTTCAAGTCCTTGCAGCTACTTTTGACCAGAACAGGAACACTCACAGTTTTAAGACTAGCCACAACCAACCACGCACTACATTTCTGGACATCTGCAAACAAAATGGAGATGTTCAACAGCAGCCCCTCACCTGAGATCTCTCAAACACTTGCAGTGTTTCAGCATGTCCATGAGAGCAGACATATAGACCATCTTCCCCATCATGCCCAGGTTGGCCAACGAAAGAGTCCGTAAATGCTGGCACTGCAATCCAATGTTAATAAGCCCAGAGCCAGTAAGAATATTTGGCAGTTGTGCTAAGGTGAGGCTCTGCAAGTAAGTCAATTGGCTAATGGCAGCCACCTCTGAATCCCCCACGCTTTGTGCCCGGACACAAGGAGGCAACGAGTTCCGAATTGCTGGCTCGTTGCGGGGCATGGCAGAGGAAAAACTGGACCCAATTATTTCCAAGGTTTCCAAAAATCGGAGGCTTCCCATCAGAGCCCAGAATACTGAAGACTCTATCTTCTGATTTGCCTGGTCTGCTAAGTTCCTTGGATAAGTCTGTATCCCAATCCGAACTTTCCTTCCAAATGTTTGGGGCACCAAATTAGATGCCGTGGGAGGCTTTTCCACATTTGCAGCAACATCTGTGATGGAGCAAACCGGTAACGCTAATGAGAGCAGGTGCTTTAGCCTGGACAGAAGCTGGCACAAGTGATTCCCTATGCTTTCTGAGCTGTGATGGTGAGCTGCAGAGAGGTTGAGGTGTCTCAGGTTGCAGCAAGACACTACCAGGCTTTCCAGAATGCTACTGTCAATGTCATCTTCCGCTTTTCGAAACAAGGACTCCGGAGCCAGACAGTGAACGCAGCCACTGAGATTCAAACTGGTCAAGCTTTTAAGATCCTTCCCACCATTAATAACCCTCTGGATCAGGTGACCACCAGATAAGGTGCATCGGCTAAAGCTGAAGTAGAAAGGGTTGTTGAACTTCAAGTGTTGCAGGAGCCCAGAGCCATTAATCCAGGCTTTGGGCAATTGTAAAGCATCCAGACGTACATTTCGAGCCATAGAGTCCAGGAGGTTTTTAGTGGCTCCCGTCTCTGCAAAGCTACCGGGGGCAGAAATAAGGAAGGCGTGAAGGTTCTCAGGTGTCCTATCACTTAGCACCGCCAAGTACAGCCTCACCACCTCCTGATTAACGTAGCCAGGAGCCAGCCTGGCATAGAAGACACGGAGGTTCTGGTAATGGGGCACATTGCTCTCACCTACCATTAGCTGCCCAGAGAGCATAAAACCTTCTCGTGAGCGATCAAGGATCTCAAAATAAAGCAGCAGTTTCTCAAGGCTAGTGCAGCATGGAACGACACCATACGACGGCGTGTAAAGAGTTTGCTTCAATTCCAAGACACGGCTAAGAGTGGCTTTACACTCACTGCTTAGCTGACTGGCATCAAAACCCGGATTTACATCTATCGCCAGGGAGCGCAGGTGCTGGAGCGTGGACAGCATCTTTGAGAGACGGAGAGAGGTGACATGGCACCCAGACAAGTTCAGTTTTACCAGGTTCTTGCACCGTGTTACATGATCAATAGTGGAGCTGGGCAGCCAATAGCAACCAGCCATGTTCAGCTGGTAAATCTCTTTTCCGATATCCCTCATCAGTTGCTTCACTTTGTCTTTGTTTACCTGTACTCAAACAAAACCAGATTCAATGAGATATACAGCAATGGTGTGTACTGACTCAGTTTCCCATCTGATAATGGGGATAACAGTGGTTAGCACTTAGATTACATGTCTCATCCAAAGGTCTCAGGATGCTAGCACCGTCTAAGAATTATTATACTGCTGGTTACTGGCTTGGTCTACCATGCTTTGGACTCTTAAGATTACACCTCCTTTAGCTTCTCAGTCTGGGCAGTTCTGCATTACTGACTGTGAGGCCAAATCTGTTCAGCAAATGACAGTGGAATGGAGGACCATCTCCATTTTCTAAAAGCAAAGCTATTTCAGCAGAACTAGCTATCTACGGAAACTCAAACTGAAAGAAGAACGTTTCCATTCTCCTTCATCCAGTTTCCTCTTTTGGAAATGAGTGAGAGGCTTCCCCTTGCCTGCACTTGGTGATACAGTCCTCATAAAACGTATCACCCTTCATTCCCAAACTTTATTTTTGTTGTAACATATATACAATTTCTGGCTTAGCTGACTGCATGCCTGACAGCAGTATGCACAAGATTTTTTTGCACAACAACACGGAAAATGTATTTTGAGAAAATGGTAACTGTACACAACCACAGCTACAAAAGGAAAGTCACATTTACTTTAATTTTAGCTTCCAGAAACACAGAGAAGATAGTTTTCACTGAACGTATTTTATATAACTAAGGGAGCACAGAGCTGTTCTAACAAAGCATTCTGGAAAACAAATGCTTTTATAAAACAGTTTATTGTTTATTTGATTTCAGAGTTCAAGAGCATTTCATTTAAGCAGACACATTGGAAAGTTCTACTTCTTGGCATTTTTTCAGAAGCCAGATTTGTCTTCATAGCTAACAGAAGAAACAAGCTACTCTCCCCACCTTATAGTCTTTCTGAAGTATAACTGTATGGGTTAGACTTTTGTCAAGGCAAAGCGTTGCGAGTTTCCTGCAGGTTCTCCTGACGTTCAGGACAAGGTCTGTGCAAGGGACGTAGCTGAGGATGTGCAAAAGGATCTCATCTGAGAACTCCATCAAGTTGACACCATTAGTTTCCTCCTCGCTCTCCCCACTTATGATCTCCTGGGGGTAAAAAAAAAAGAAAAAAGAAAAAAAGAAAAAAGAAAAAAAGAGAAAAGAAAAGCTACGAGCTCAGAAACTTCAGCAAAGCTTGTGAGAAAACAGATACCCTGAGTCTCATAAGGATTTACAAAGTGAGACAAAACAGAAATGCCTGGATCTTTAAGTACTTCCATCTGCGTGAAGAAACCAAAAGCTTTCCCTTAGAAGACAATATGGAGGTAGTGCAAAACTTCACACAAAGCCCCAGTACCTTCACTTGCTCTTTCACTGTTGGCTGCTTTAGAATGAGGAAAAAAAATGTTTATGTTCACTCCACTTTTGCGCCTTACTTTGCAATGGGAAAAGTGACTGTCCCTGATTCTTTCTAAATATAACGCAGCAGCCTCTTTCTACATCTTTCCTCTAAGTGCCATCCATTGCAATAACCTTAAGAGTTATGTAACCATATATAGAGAGAGATACATAGATAAATACACACAAAGGAAACTGCAGTCCAGTACCGGATCACCCATAGCTCTTGTGCAACATGCTTACACCTTAACCACATGAAACCACACAACTGACAGCTGGGCTCCAAAGGGCACACGAGAACCCCTTTGCTCCTCCACCCCACGCTCCCTTCCTTCGACACTGGGGTGACAAGGGGTACCCCAAACCCACCGGGACCGCCTGACAAGAAGGCAACAGGGCACACACAGCCTTGCGCGGTGCAGGGACCCCCCCCCCCCAGCCCACGCCACCGCGATGACGGTGGTTTTGGGGGGCGGCTGGGACTTTAGCACCACCTTTCATAAAGCTCGAATTGTCATTAATGTCACGGCATCCCCTGAAGGGAAGGAGGGAGCTGGTCCCACATCACAGCCCCTGTAAAACCCCCACAGAAGCACCCCGGGGGAGGGCGATTTCGGCGCCCGTACCCAGCCCCGCTAGACGGCGGCAGGCCCGCCTCAGGAACCGGCTCCCCGGGGCCTCCCCACCCCGCCGGACAGCCCGGGCCGGGCCCCGCGGGGAGAGGGGCCGCCGGCACCACCGCCGCCATTTGAGCCCCTTCACGGCCCGCGGGGCCGGCTCCAGCCCCTCTCGCCTCGCCCCCATCCCTGAGGGGGGGAGCCCGGCTCCCCCAGCCCAGGGAGACGGCGGCAGAAGACGAGCCCCGCTACAGCCCCGGTTAACGGCCCTCCGAGGGGCCGGGGCGGAAGAAGAGCCCCTTCCCGCCCCGGCTCACCTCTCCACAGCGGAACATGGCGGCGGCCGCGCGGTCCCGCCGCCGTCGCCGCCGCCGCCTCCCCCGGGCACCGCTCAAACCGGCCGCGTCCCGGCCTGGCTCCCCGCCGGCCCGGCCGCCGCACGGTTCTTCCGGCGCTGCCATGACCCGGCTTCCGCGGCTCGCCACACCCCCGCCGTCCCCACGGCCGCCCGGCGCCGCCATCTTGAGCGTGGCCTGGCGTGCGGCGGGAGGGAGGGGAGGTACCAGCCGGTGTTCGGCGCCATCTTGAGAGCGGCGCCGCCGCCATGATGGGAGTGGCGGGTCCATGTTGGGACGCTCGCCTCGGTTGTCGCTGAGGACGCCCTCATCTTGAGGGCGGCAGGTCTCTGCGGAGGCGAAATCCGAATTGTTCAGCGGGCAGCAGCCTGGCTGCCTCGCCTCTGCCCCAAGGACACCGGTGCTGAGGCGTCGGGGACGGCAGGAGCCAGGCGAGCGCCCGCTCGGCCTCCTCCGCCCTCAGCAGCAGCAGCTCCCAGTCACGGGCCCTCTGCCACCCCGGCAGCTGATTCACGCCAGGTCCGAGCTCTGCAAAGCCCTGAGTCGGCTCTGAAAATGTAAATCTGCCTGCAAGGAGCCACGGGGCACAGCAGTGACTCAGCGGGGAGCAGAGGGAGCCCCGCCGGTTTGGCGGGACACCCCCACCCCGGGCTGTTGTGCGGCCCCTGGGGCGCTGGCTGCGTTAGCACCCTGGTTTTCTGGGGAGGTGGCGGGGCATTTGTGAGAAGAACCCTCTCCTGGTTCATGCTGTGGGTTGGAAGCAGCCGGGGTGTGGAAGACGGGATACCCATGAGCACTGAACGGCTTGGGGCTAACAAGGGGGCTGCAGGTACCAGCCTCTTCCTCCCAGGAAAACCCTAAATATAAACCTGTCGGTTTCAGGTTTGCTGGTCATGTGTGCAATGATCATCAATCTGGGCTCTAACCAGGCTAAATATTCTAACTTGGGCTGTGGGCTTGAGATATGATCCTTCGCTTTACCGATGCGGAGAGGGCCGTGCAAAAGTCATCCAGGGCTGCTGTGAGCGCAGCCATTGCACACAGCAACGTCCAAGGGGAGCAGCTGGCTCAGCACTGTTACTAGTAGCTCCTCATCCCAAATCTCAAGTACAGACAGGACCAGAGTGCTGGAATTTCCAGTTACGTGTATGCTTCGGGAATTTTGTTCATAGAAAATCTGTTTTAAAGATGACCCACAAAGGAAGATGAATAGCTTGCTGGTTTCTTCCTGCTTGATTGTTGCCATTTAAGGCCAGGAATTAGATTAGGGGTAGATTGGGGGTTTCACTTAGAAATAGCAAGTGCCTCAAGTCTTCATTACCTATTTTGCTTCTAGGCCTGTGAGAAGGCTCTGGAGTTGAAGAGGAAAACCCCTCAGCCCTCAGATGAGGGAGAGCCTCAGTTAGAGAATCTGTACCTGTTTTGTTTGTCATGTGTTTCACTTAAATGGAAGGTAATGACAAATTAAATCCGGAGGCTCTTCAGTCAAGACCAACTTGTTTGACATCTGGGAAAAATACCAACCTACCATATTTGCAGTCAGCAGAGAAAGCAGAGACCGGGGTGGAGGAGACCTGCATTTCCAATGCAAATGTTAAATAAAATCATCAGCAAGGCCCATAAGCAGAGTAAAAGCCCTGCCCAGAGAGCCAGATCGGCTGGAGCAGCCTGCATTAGGGCTAGCCACAGGTTCCCTCCAGCTCTGAGGCGTACATGGACCAGACAGCAGTTGACAACCCCAAATAAGAACTGGGAACAGAGATAGGTATAAGAACCTCCCAAGGAGAAACCAGGCTCCCAGCAGTTCATAAGAGGAGCTGCACGTGAACTCATGATCCACCAAATAAAAGAGCAATGTGGTGGTATAGATAAGACACGGAGGTTAAACACAAGGCAGCACCAGGGCATCAGGTGGGCAGTAAAGGAGAAAGGAAACGAACAGCTACAGCAGACTCAGGCATTTCACGTGATGGTCACTGGGAGGTGGCCAGCCAGTGAGAGGAGAAACCCTCCCTGCTGTACCTCGCTTCAGGAACACTCTTCTCAGTGTGGACCCTTGGGAACCTTCTGTGGAGATGGGTTCAGTTTGGGGCTGGGCCATCTCAGGGCAGACTTTGTTCATCTTATGAGTAATACACAGTTTTCTTAGCCCAAAGAAGGCAGGCACATACCATGCTGTCCCAGTCCAGGAGGGCAAACAAACAAATTAATGCTAGTATCAAGATATTTTGTTCTGTATAAGACAAAAATCTCTTAACTCTTCAAGGCCAGACTGGCCTGGGGATTTTATACTTTTCCCTCTGGAAAGTCTTGGGTCATTTGTCTCTGATTCTTCTTAAGACTGATATGGTCTGGACATCTCATCTTTTTGTCAGCATGACTAAAGCCCAGCTGGACTACAGTGGCCAGAGCTCTTGGTATGCTTGGGTGAACTGCTAGCTCCACTGTTGTAAGTGATTTTCAATACTTGATACAGTTTAATACTGTAAGGCCTCCTAAAGTAGCTTACAGATGGGTATAATACAAGTCAGGGCAGACTCCAGGTCAGCAATCCCTCTGCAAAGACCGGCTTCAAAAACCAGGACTCCTCCTGCCCCAAGCACAGCTGATACCCACAGTCCCATCCCTGAACCGATACCTCGGAAAGCCCATTTTCTGAAACTGACGCTTTGCTCCCTCGGAGGGGACTTCTGTGAGGAGGCCAGTTTTGTTTGAATGCTCTGGGATTTCCTGGGACTTTTGCATGCAGCCAGCTGGCTCCTCTCCTGAAGCAGCACACGCTCGCTAACGAGAGAATGGGACCCCCCCAGCTGGGGACCGTTTCTAGTCAACACTCCCTGACACAGCTAAGAGACAATGAGGCCCTTCAGGGCTAAATCCCGAGAGCTGCAACTGTCTCCTTTGCCAAGGACAGCACTAATTCCTGGCGGTGGCTTGATTCCATAAGCAGCTCAGCGAGGTGACTTTCCAGGTCACCAGCTAATTGCAGGTGAAGTGCCAGTGACTGTCTCCAGCAGGAGCGAAAGTTGGGAGCTCTGGGGAAAGAAAGGGAGTAAAATGTGTTTGCTCAGCTCCCTTGAGCTGAGCCAGCTTCCCGCGGGCAGCTAAAGGGAGGCGAGAAAGGGCTGGGTGGCTTGCAAGGATCTACAGCTGAGTCCCGCCGTCTCTGCGGCCTGAGAAATCCCAGTACATCACCACCACTGAGCCAGACTGGGATGCACTCAGCCTGGCCCATGGATGGCTGTTTTAAACCTCCTGGTCCCCCCACAACCCCAGCTGTTTGTGTGCTGGAGAGGAGGAGGAGGTAGCCAGGGGACTGATTATTCCCTACACATCTTCTCCTTTGAGTGTTGCCCATGGCTGGTGGCTTCAAGCACCAGGACATGGCTAAACCAACTCCTCTACCGCCCTTCCTGTGACAGGCCCCTCGGCATTTCCCCACCTCTGTGAAACAGCGAGGGGTGAACCAAGCCCTGCGAAACACAGTGATGGAGAAACTGCAGTTAAAAAAAAATCCCCCCTCTTCCAGCGCCTGGCGTTCCTGAGAGGAAACCACCCTGGGCTCCCCCCTGCTTGTCGGAGTCGGGAGCAGTGAGTAATGCTCACAGGCTTCCCTGCCCGACGCCACATTCTTTTCTCCAGCATGTAATGGCCCAGAGGAGGAATAAACTGAGCCTTGCTGGAGCAGCCTGCAGAGCAGCCGTGCACGCTGCAGCCTCCCACCGGAGAGGCATCAGGAAGGGCTGTGAAAGGCTCAGCCTCATTTTATTGGGGGGCTGGTTGCCTGAAACAGCAAGTGACATAGCAAGAAAGGAGAGAAAACACCCTGCAAAGTGTTAACTAACAGCAAGCCTCGCCTGCTGTGCTCTGGAGCATGAAAATGAGCCTGGCTCCCCTGCGCCCAGCGGCTCTGCACCAGCCCATCGCTCGCCCTCTCCCTGTGCCCACACCTCTGCCTGCCTGAGCTGCTCTCGGCCCCTGGCGTTTTGCTGCTCTGTGGTTTTTCCCTCATCGCCACCATCATCTCTTCTGTTCTTTGCGTCAACACATTTTTCCACAGCGATCAGTGACCATTTCAGGGAGGGCTGAAGAAAGGCACCCCATTTCCCTATTGTCATCAGCTTTTCTTGCCTCCTGGCCTTTTTCCTGCCCTGCTCCCACCAGCTCCCTCCCCAGGAGCTGCCATTGCTGCCTCCTCACCCCATTTCCCCAAGACCTCAGGTTATAAACCCAGTTTGGGCCTTGCTCCAACCTGTTTCACCTCCCCTGTTGCAAACTGGTGCTTCCAGTAACTCGTCTGCTCACAGCCCAGTGTCTGCACCTACAGCCCTGCCAGGCTCCTACTGCACCCGGGGCAGCCAGGAGGGAGGCTGGGGAGATGATGAAGGGCAGAAACCAGCAGGTCCACCCCGAACACAGCATGATGCTGGAGCAGGATCAGGCCAGGCAGAGGATTAAAGAGCCAATGGAGCCTGTTCCCTGCCTTTCATCTGCAGCGAGCATGACACAATCACAGCCATTAGCTCTTCAAAGACAGGCAGGTTGGAGGAGCCTTGGGAAGCCAGCACGCCTGTGAGCAAGGCTCCAAGGTCTGGTCTGCCGAGTTGGCAACGCACAGTGTCACCTGGCTTTGCTCTCCCTGGTCCCTGACCTGGCAGCCTTGGTCCTCTCTGTCTCCTTCCTTCCACAGCAGTGGCTCCAGCTCCTGGGGCTCACGGGCTTTGCTGTGCCCAACAGGGTCTCAGCTCCCTGCACGGCTTTGTGAGGGTCGCCACCGTGGCTGCTCCTTTTCATGAAACTGGAGAATTTGATCCATCAAACATGGCTGAAGCTTCACTGAAGATTCAAAAGCCCAGAGGATCAGGACAGAGCCAAGAAGCCGTGCAAACCTGCCTTCTGGCAGAGGCTGGGCTAGAGGCAGGTATCTGCACTGCCCACAGCAAGTCCTAGAGCTGTAATGGTCACTCACCATGCAAGAGCTTCCTCCCTCCCCACACCCTTTTCCCAGCCCTGCCCAGCCATGTGTAACAGCCCAGTGG